TGATATGGGAAAGACGAATTAAATCCTTAATTACCTTCTAAACGCTATTTGAACGGAAGACCATTTGTCCATAATGTGTTCTTTCAAAGCATCAATAAAATTAACTTGTCAAGGTAAGATGAAATAAAAGATCAAAGAAAATAAATACTACAGAAACTCATGGATATAGGGGCGTCTCTATATTTTTTTCTTAGAAGTTAATTACAGCTTGCAAACTTTCAACTTCAATTAATACTCATTTAACATATACCGGAAAGGCAACATCATGTCTTGACGATTCATAATGAGGTATTCATTTTTTTATGGCACATCAATAGCTGCATTCACGGTCTAACTGTTATTGTGACGTAAACAGCTTCCGCATTTCCTCCGCTTCATCATGTTCCTTAATGATGCGTGAAGCTGTCTATTTAGGATGCTGTGTAGTAATGGGTTTACCACAACCGAACACATTCCTAAAGTCGCCGTCACAACCAATAGCTGCGCTTGCGCTATTGACGGATTCCCATTTCGGGTTCCTAATACTGTAAGCGGAAGTGGCATCCAGAGACAGATAAACAAAACAATCATAATGGCGATACGTTTTGCCGCTCTCGCTTCTACTTTTCGTTTTCCGAGTTCTTTGCTTTTAGAGTTCATAACACAAACTGAGCCTGAGTAATTAGTTTCTTTCTTTGACACTCGGTTGACCTCTCCAGTGATGTCAAAGATTTGTATAAGACTATCGGTGTTCACACCGTCGCTTGCGTTTTGTTGATGGTACGTTGTAGTTTTGTTGGAACAGGACGGCGTCGCGTTTGTGAGAAAAATCTTTAACGTCTGATCTACTACTGGATTTTGTTTTGTGCCAGAACCATTTTCACAAACCTTATCGGGAGATCGAGTTTTCAGGTGTTCATTTTCATCTCCTTTTTCAGCAACCACTGTTTCTTCCAAACATTCTTCATTTTTTCCCTTTTCTGATTTATTTTCCTCGGAGTTTTCTTCCATAGTATTTGATCTTGTTTGAGGTATTTGAACAATATTTAGTTTTACAGAGTTGTTAACAGCATTGTTATCTGCAGTTTTCTCATGTTTTAGAATAGATGAGATTTTAATATCACGACGGTCCACCGTAACACACGTTTGATCCATGTTCTCCTGTTGAACTTTCTGATCTTTTTGTGTGTCATCGATTTTGTTTTTGAAGTCGAAATTTGTTTCACAATATTTGCTGGACTTTTCCACTCCGGAAACACTAAAGTGTAGCGGCGTTCTGGGCAAAATAACTGACAAATCAGTGTTGCTGCATGATTTATCCACCCCCTTGAAATCTTCATTCATCATCTGTGGAACTACTTTGTTTTTCCTATGAACTATATGGCCTGTCATTCTTTTTCTATGTTTGAAAAGCGTAAACATAATAAGGCCATAAAATACAATGATAATTAATAAAGTTCCAATACCAAAAGGAAAAATCAAATATAAATCATGTGTTCCCCAGGAGAAATGGTTTGATGTCGTGTTTGTCAGACACTTGTCGTAGAGTGGGGAATCCACAAAGATAAATGCTGATAACAAGCTTAATCCGCTGGCCACAGTCCACGACAAACCAATCAGTAGTGCTGTTCTCCGAGCACGTCCATCTTTTTTGAATGGACTAGAGACACACTGGAATCTTTCATAACTGACAATAACGAGCATAAAGAGCTGCAAAAGTTCGCAAAAAGTCCGGAAAAATACTGCAGCACTGCACAGTGTGGCCCAGTTTTCTGCTGATCTAGAGGCGGTAAAGAGATACACGCGCAGCGGAAGTAGAGTTACACACGCGATTAAATTACCTATCAAGGCGCTCATTAAGGTAGCGTTGATGAATGTCCGAAGTGAACGAGTTTTAAGGATACAAACACATAGAAGTGTGTTCCCAATAATTCCCAATACAGCAGCTAGAATTATCACTACGTCACAACACAATATCAGCATATCTGTATCCAATAAATAATTGTCGTCCGATGAGTATATGACGTCATTATAAAATGTACCGTTTACATTCATCATATGCCGATGGCTTTGACTATTTCAATGCTGTACCCTAGCAATCCTTTTGAAGTTTTTGTGACATCATCCTGTAAAGAAATTGAAGCCTTTCAAAAAGTAAAACAATATCGTGTACACAGCATAGCGGCTTTTCTCTTACATTTAATGTTCTGATTCAGATGAAGTTCAGTTAGAACTTACTGTTGATGATTTTAATCTCAGTATTGATTAACAATTAAAAGGGATGTGAATTCCTTGCAAATGGTCACTTAGTAATTACCTAATAAGGCACGTGAATCGGCAACACATATTAAGTGCTTGTATAAATACTTTTGCCATTAAAAGGGGCATATCAAAGCACATAAAAACATTTGTGTTTTCGGTCCTTTATTTGCTCTAGTTCTTAATTTCTAGAAATAAGGCGATCGATTGACAAATTGGAGTTCGATAACGGTTTCCGTTAGATGATAACATCGCAGTAAAGTTTTATTTACAAACGGGTGAAGGCTTCGTTAAGAAGCCATTCTTTTACTTAAATTCATATTGGCCAAATGATATTGCTAAACACATTTGTTTGATATGAGCAATTATATAAGTGTCTTCTTTCATTTAATTATCTCTTTCTTGTTGTCGAGACATCTGTCTCCCCTTTCAAAATCGAGTGACATGTATTTTCGTTGCGAAAGTTTTTAAACAAGTATTAGATGTAATAACCATCCTTTTAGATAAATTACATCTTTAAGAAATATATCCTTTTTATTTTGTTTATTTTCTTGCATTAACTCATCGTAGATTCTTCAACGCCGCTGCTTGTTTTCATTGACTCTACAAAGAGTTATCGATTTAAGATTATTTTGCTAATACTATTACTAATGCTGAGTAAAAATAATATGATACGTACTTCTCAATTATTCATTTCAAACTTAAAGTCCTAAAAATCAATTAATTTTAGCTCCAAAGCAAGAAGTAACTATCAAACATAATTTGCTAATACGTCCCTGGTTTATAGTTATAAAAGATGCTAAAGGTATCTCCTTCATTCAAGGTGTTTTGTATATATATATTAAAATCTAGATTGTTAAAGACATTGGTATCAGATTTCAAACTTGACGAGCAATCTCGCTATTGTTAGCGTCTCCTCACGGAATGGGTTGTTAAAGAAAAATAACTAGTAAATCTTTGTGTATCTAATGGGAAATAAAATCCAACCACGACAACATCATGACCATAAAGTGTATAACCGTAACAAGGACATTTTTCATTATCAAAGCATGTTTTATAATTATGACGCAGAAAAATCATAAACAACTTTAAAAAATTTGTGTATTTGCAAATTTCAATGGAAACAGCGTGGGTACAACTACATCGAAATAGCTTCCTCTACTTAACAAAATTTCTAACAAAGCAAAAAGATATATTTTCTTGAAATTTGGTGTATTTATAAGGTACTTTGAAAAACTACTAGTACATCAATCAATATAATTCGTAATATTTCAAAACAGAGTTACACAATTTGAATAAAATAAATATTGAATTTTGGCAAAACACAAAATAATTACCCAATAATCAAAATATCTTCCAAGGAGAAATCAAACTCTGTAAGAATTTAAAAATGATTGATAAAATACAATTATTACTCTATTCATTAAAAAAATTCTACTACGAATTAAATGTAAAAAGACTCGGAAAAAAAATTAAAACGAGATTATGTGAAAGTACATCTTATCAGAGAAAGAAATATGTATCTATTGTCTTACTTTCTGATGGAAGGCCAAATCCCAGTCTGAAACAACATCAATAACTCAGCAGGATATCAATATGTTATAAAGGTCCAAAAGCCACAACCTACATAAAATGCCAACGCCCCTATCGGATTCCTCGAAAGACAAAACAAATAATAAAAATACACCCTAACCGCATCAGAGAACGATGAAATATGAAGCTAATTACGTTTAGGTCTAAGCCTAAGGTAGGCAATAAAATACACTTTTTCTTGTCAAATCCGAAACCGTAACATCCAGAATTGTTCTAGCTTTTACATCGTGAGGTCTGTTTCCGTAAATATATCAGCTAATTTTTTTATATGTCTTTCCAAAAGGACCCAATTATATTTATTACACTGATGTGTATTATCAAAAAGAAATTGGCAGTGATGTTAATTTGTTGACGATGTTGGAATAATTTAGTACTTTTAAAACTTATTAAGATGTACAGGTAAATTGCTGAAGTGCTTTTTGTTAGCTATAACTTTAGAAAATGTCAACTTAATTTTATAACGTCTGGAAGAGTCGCCTGAGAAGTGTGTCAAGCTTGTGTGGTATGTTAAACTAATATCTCAACTGAAGTGCGTTGATCTATCAATAATTAACTATATAGTAAATAATTATTATCATAGATTCCTCAAAGTCAAAAACTCATAATATTTTTTAACTGTATTTGAAATCACTGGCTTTGCATATTGGAGTTTGCTTGAATGTTTTTAATAAAATTATTTCTTCTTTTAATTCTGTGAATATTTACAAATCGTATTGAAATACCAGGCATTTGCTATAGCTAGCAACAAATACCTATCACCAACTGTTTTGTGACATTTGAAGAAAGGCTCTCCATAGTTTAAAAATGGTTCATGCATTAATGATTCTGGAATGTGTTTAGAGAATTAAAGTTTAATGTTTTACAATCCTTAAATAATGCATTTTGTTATCTCTGGCTTAGGCTTTGACGCACGATTGGTCCGTTATGGTAGCTCAGTCGGTAGAGAGCTCGCTCCGAAATTAGAAGGTCGTGTGTTTGAATCACGGCCGCCACGGACCTAAGTCGATAAAAAATGTTCCTTCGCCAAGCGCTCGGCACTTTGAAGTGAAAGTTGCAGGTCCTTCGGATGAGACCTTAAAAACAGAGGCCCCGTGTCACAGTAGGTGTTGGCACGATAAAGAACCCTCACTGCTCAATGGCCCTGTGTGCCGAGTAAAGATCTAAATTTGAAGCCCTTCGCCAGTAAATGGTGACGTCTCTAGATGAGTGAAAAACTCTCGAACGGGACGTAAAAACAACATATAATCAATCAATCGACATACGATAAATTATTTTAAAATGAAGATTCCTGTGTTTTATTAACGTTTGCTTCTGTTTACTCTTACTGGCAGGCAAAATCTCTCAAAACAATGTTTAATTATATCATTTATCGCAATTTATTGTGTAGTTTAAATAATGTTTTCTATTACCTTATTCATTAATCCAATCACCCTTTATAATGAGACCTCACATAACTGATTTGGTAAAACCCCATGTTTAAATTAAAATGTATGATAAGTAACTAATGAAGACATTTTACTCGCTCTTTACCTTAGTATATTCCATTCTACATGTATTGCCACTTATATCCATATTAGGTCATTCTTTACACATTGAACTGTCTAGGGATTTTTCCGTTTTCTCGATCATGACAAGGAGCACACGGGGGTGTGACCGGTGGGCAGGGGATGCTCACTCCTCCATGGCTTCTGATCCCACCTCTGATATTTTTAGAAATGTGTTTGCTCTACTTCTGATTTGTATTTTTTTTTCTATGGACAAAAACTTGAATTATCTTTATATTTGATTGTGAAATCACTAAGTTTTGTTAGAGTTTTTTTTCGTTGATTTCATGGTATGAAGAGATCAAAGAACTCATGTTCACTACTTCATATCAAGATAACACTATATTTCTTCTATCACGATATCAAATCCCCTCGAACATGGAACTTTCTCCTAGGAAAACAACTTTTTTCCTTTTTAATATAAAATTGAATTTTTTCACCACCATTAGATACGCAGGCACACAAAATGTGCGAGAGGATTTGAGACGAAGTCTTATAGCTATTGCTTCTTTCAGGAAATTGTCTGACAATGTGCCTTAAGATATGATATCCTTAGAGTTGCTTAATGAACTCATCACTCTCAGATAACAGTCTGTATCACGGATCAGAATTCTCAGGTTTGATTCTACTTTTTTATATTATAGTAGCAAGAGCTGACGAAAGCGTCGTCTCACTGATTTATTTATTAATTACACTAACATTGTCTAGTCCATATTAGGAGTACATAAAATAAAAAAAAACTATATGTATGTATTTTAATCGATATTTAACGAATTATGCATTCCAAGACCAAATTATAAGCTTACCTGGAATTAAAAGAAAATAGTAGCCATGTGAATTTGCAACGGATTAGTATGTGACTTGTCGTTAAAAGATCTTTATAAAGAAAAACAAGGTGATTATATGTTTTTTATATACTTCGCTTATGTCATTAACAGTACACATCTGAGAAATGTCATACTTTCTGACATTCAGATGAACTTTTAATGAACTCATGGAAATCTAACCGATTGAATATTTACTATGATTGTCAATTAGAAGGCTGAACCGTCTTTGATGTAACTTCGTAAATCATTGATATATTTATTTCTACAATATTGCATTTAAGAAGAACACAGATGATATAGATGAAAAAGGTGATCGATCTAAAAAAAATCTACAAAGAATAGAAATATGTGAACAGGGCATAAAAAATGGATATCCCCGGAAATTTCAGACGTGGGCTCGGGTGCCTTGGAGGAGTAAGCATTCCCTGTTGACCGGTCATACTCACCATGAGCCCAATGCATTGAGCAGATAGACGGAGCATTCCATAGTCAAATATATATACATAATGCTTTAGAAAGCAGTGTGACATTCTCTTCGAAATGTAGTGTTAATGATTCGTATTCGTGACAAATGTTTAAAGAAAGGTTAAGTAATATACCAACTCATGTTTACAATTTTTAGGATATCTACGTTGCAAGAAATTTTAATAGTGTTGTAAATGTACTTTTTGGCATACAGTGCGTATATTAAGATTAAGATGCTAATTTTTACACAGATTATATTGAAGAGAACGACAAATAAAGCAGTATATCATTAAAGAGTACACTTCATCACTTGGCTAAGATAGATAACAGGGAACTCTTACTTGTGAGTTCAAGATTGATTGATTGATCGTGTGTTGTTTTACGTCCCACTCGAGAATTTTTCACTCATATA